AGTTTCTTAATCCCCCCCTCCCCTCCACACCTTACCACTGTCCGCCCAGCAGTCTACAATGCGTACCACCACAATCGTTGATCTGCGCGGGTCGTGTGTGGTAGGGTAAAGCGTGGGTGATCCCACCTTGCCGGTCAACGTTGAAGAATAAACCGGGTGGACCAAATACCGTCCAGCGTTCGCTCTAGGGAAGGCTCCAGCTGTGGCAATTACAGGGCCGCACCTTTACCCGTTTTAGCTTGGAGGTGTAATGCCCTGCCTGCACTTGCTTGCTTCACACTGTCGGCGCGACCCCACATTGCTGATGATTTGTTGCATTCCACCTGTACATATCATTAAAGAGAAATATTACATATATATAACTTTTTGACTTTTTTCCATTGAAAACAGCTACATCGTTTCGATGGAGTGCTTTTTGCCAGTAACATCAATAGCATCTGCTTTAACAAGGACTGATGAGACCCCGAAGTTTTAAATTGGTCCAGAGTTTATTTGCCTCAACAAAGGCTGCTGGATAATATTGAATCTGGAAAGTCAAATAGCCTGATGGACAATACCAGATTTATATATATGTGGAGATAGAATCTGCATCTCTTTGATGGTGTTTGATCATGTTGGCCTCTGTCGTGCTATTCTTTACCGAGTCTTCGTGGCCTCGCTGATAGTGCAGCTCACATCCCCGTGATGTCGAGCTCTTACTAGTTTATTGGGAGCTAGGATGGGTCTCGTGAGTCATATGCAGGCAGAGGAAATCGTATGAGTCTGTTTTTTTGTTTGGCAGGTGGTGGAAGGACAAAAAAAGGAGACGCTAACGTGGGAATTTATCCCACCATCCTCAGCCCCCTATAGGGGTAGGAAGAGCTGCAGGTGGCCCACACTAGACCGTGTAGCTCATTACAGACGGCACACACATTGATGCTCTCACACTTTTGCACGCGCATTTGTTAAGTGCTGTGTTACAATGTTGCCTCGTGGCATCCGAAGTGGGACTGAGCCTCCCCTCGGTCGTTGAGTCAACCCAAAAGCAGCGCCAAGCGCGGCGGAGCCACACAAAACATCTTGGACTCGTCCAGCAGCAGCAGAAGCCGTTATCGTTTCGATTTGACGGCCATCGTGCCATTGACTATCTTTGGCCATCGTAAGTTTCCGTCTACCTCCGTTCCTTTTTACGTCCATTTTGCCAAACATCAACAGCTTATATCAGGGTTTTTTTTTATTTCCCGTCACGCCTGTAGCCACGTGTCCAAAATACTTTCGATTACATCTTTCCACGACGGGCTACGGCTACAAGTCGAGCTTTTTTTAAGCAAACTCTTGCACTAAACTTTCTTCACCGGTTCTTCTTGCTGTCCATCAGCCAACGTGTTCATGATCAGACGTATCGGGACCGCAGCTGCCTGCTGTAATGATCACACAAGTTTCACGTGCATGCACTTTTCCTTCACGAGCCCGGCTCTGTGTTTCTCCACGAAATACGACTACATCCGGGCAGATGGGGCAGCTGATAAAGGCCGTTTGTGAGTAGCGTTGCAGGCTTGAGAAGACCTACCTACAACTGCCATCGTCAACGCACCGGCTTGTACACTGGCACGTGTATAATATAGCGCGCTAATGTGTGTTTTGTTGCTGTTGTTGTTGTTGTGGCAATAATGGTAATCGCACTGTGCTTGCAATTCAGAGGTTTGCCGGTTCGATTCGATCTCGCGGCAGGCACCGCGGTTGAAACAATGGGAAAGGATTTAGATTTAAAGCTTTCGTGACTGCAGTAATTCATATTCTTAGCTCTTTCGGTAAAGTCACGTTGAAGGGAAACAATAAATTAATAAAATATATATTATTTTATTGTTTCCCTTCAACGTGACTTTACCGAATGAGCTAAGAATAAGAAAAATGGGAAAGGATCTTAAATCTCAGCAGTGTAAGCAATTTTACATCGCGGGCAGCCGGCTGGCAGGTCGCACGTGTCGGGGTAAAGTGTGGCCACTCGCAAAGTTCTCCAACAATTCCGGCCAGCGTAGAAGAGTAGGCCAAATTACCCTCTAGAGCAGCCCTCTGGAGCTCCCGATAGCGGAGGCAGTAGCAAGACCGCACCTTGAGCCACTCAGTACATTTTACTCAATTATACTGCCCTCCGATTACCGTGGTTGGCTGCGTACGGTGGGAAATAAGTTATACATGCATAAAATGAAGAGTATATACCAGGCAACGTTTCTGGCAATTGCCCTTCTTTAGAGGGCATAAATAACGTGCACCTGCATCTCTGCAAACGCTAATTGGCGGCCTAGGAGAGTAGGCTCAACAATCGGGTAACTTCCTATGCGTGTCTACTTTTTACTCTCTCCAATTGCCAACAACAAACCAAAAAAGACAGACCGGCATACTTTTCTTGCCTTGCAAATGACAGGCACGTAATGCGATGTGAAGATGGGCCTTGGCTTGAAACATCGCCTCATGTAGATCTTTATAAGGGCACAGCGTTATTGATGAATGTGTTGAGATTGTTTTTGTTATTTGTGTCTGCGCAACGCAATGTCGCCAAACAACAGATTTATAAAGCATCGCTTATGGGCGCTGATGCTGACGTCCGTGGTGTAAATGTGTTTGTATCTTCAGTCTGTCTTTTCGAGGCTCCTAATTTAAGCAGAGGTTTCGTGCGCGCAAACATCGGTGTCCGCGGTGGAGGTCCTGATGGTTCTGTTCCCAATTATCGGTGAGCGCAGACGCATCGAATCACACATTCCCACTTCGACCCGTGTTGGGAAAAGACAACACGACTGCAATATTTCGAACAACGCTTATTGTCACAATTGTTTGTTTAAAACCCAAGACGGCCGCAACGGGCGCTCAACGCAAAGTGTTCCACTTGGCGTTGCCGTTTGCGCAACGTTGCGTTCATTGCTCCACGCCACGTATGGTGTGTGGGGAGGGGAGGAGATGCCAGGGAAATGCCGCGAAGAGCATGCGTCTACTTGCCTGCCATTGCGCACCGCGGAATTACATGCGGGGAAGCGCTTCAATATTAATGCTCAGGCAAATGAATGCGTCAGATTTGGATGATTCACGTCTTAAGTGGCCGCACGAGTGGCTGTGGCCATCGGCTATTATTCGCATAGGTCTCTGGAGCACTGCCCGTGCCCGTGGCCGTGTGAATGCATTTTACCAGATGGAATAACCGAGGTCACCAAACTCGTGCTCCCCATTATCTACATTGATTAAAATCATCATCATCGTCAGCCATGATCTATACACTGCTGGATGAAGACCCATTATGACTTCCTGCACACAAGCTCCATCTCCATGGTGGCCGTTTTCTCGCATTTGGCTGCCACTCCATCAGGAGTCTTCGACTGCCGTTCATCATTCCTTCGCGAGTGACGCATCCTGCCCAACACCAAATGACTTTCGTGACAGACAATTTGATGTCTCTTAGCACGCGTTCTGTTCCTTGATCCACGTGTTCCTCGTTCGCGGCACCTCCGATTCGCTGCGTACAGGTGCATTTTGTTTCTGAGTGTTATTCCACGCATGCACCATCAGACCACGCACACGCTATGAATCATGTTCTGGAAAAAGACTAATGCATTTCAAAGACTTTGTAAATTAGGAAAGAAAACATTGATTGAATATACCATTATACTGTTCCTAAACCAAAAATATAAGTATTCTTGTTAATAAGGTTGGAAATAAATATGTGACAAGGGATTTTTTTGTTGCACAAGCTTAAAGAATACACTCCAAAGGTGTGAAGGAATACACCACAACACGTTTCATTGTTCATGGTGTACTAGGAACACAGTTGTGTTTCAAAGGAAGACAAAGGATATGTTCCAAACTTATTAAACAATAACATTTGTTCTCCCCAATCGGAAGGTTTTTTGTTGTTGTTGTTGTTGAGATTCGCGATGTAGAGACGACTCCCAAAACGTCCTTTAAAAACTCAACACTTGCACGCCTGCTCGCAGTGTCAAAACGATTATCACGTGAAAAGAAGCAAAAAACACACATCTTAGTCGGAGACGTATTTAAACGAACAACCATTAAAAATAATAGATTTCAGTCCCGTGAGCCAGCTTTGACTGAGGTCGTTTGTGTTTCACTTTCTTCCCGAACCTTGCGCAAAAAAAGAGGCCAATCACTTATTAGCAGCGCGTGGGTTTCTGCGCGGTGGAACTGCACGGCCCTCCGATGCGTTTGCGCTGCGCCTCGATCTGCCCGAGGTCCGACGCTTCGCTCCACCACAACCCCAGTGGTCTTCGTTCGGTCTCTGCTCACTCTGCAAGGCTGCCGGTGCGCTGAGCGGCGTCTGGGGGAGGGTGGGGTGGTAAGAGATTCCTCGCTCGCTGCTTCCGCAGACGATACTCATTGAGCGATGGGAAAAGGCCCCCTTAAATGTATGTGCGTGTAAACATGTTACGAACTTCTTTCGCACCGTACGTAGCCAACCATGCTAATCAGAGGTGCGGGAAAACCGTCTGTGCTAAAATGGCGTTACGAAATGCAGTGTGAATGTTGTGTGCTTCTTTCGCGCTGTACGTAGCCAACGGTGCTAATCGGAGTGCAGTGTCCCCAGAGTGCAGGGCATGAGTTCGAGCTGTTGCCTCCATGACTGAGTGGCACTTGTATTTTTGGGACACAGGTTGTACCGCATCGCGCGATAATTGACTGACACATTCATTAGCTACGGCCGTGGTTGCAAACCGCTGCTGGATGAAGGCCTCCCCTAGCCATAGCCATCTCTCGCGATCGGGCGACGTGATAGTGATCCACCCAGCACCTGCATACGATCTGATTTAATCGCTCCATCACCTTGCCGGGTGCCTCTTGGAAAACGCTCAACTCCATGATTTTCCACTTCGTCATTATTCTTGAACATCTGTCATTACGCTTTCAAGTGACATGTCCTGCCCAGCTCTGTGCATTCCTAACAGGAGGAAAACCCTCAGGAGGGCCTTTAAAAAACAGGACAGCTGTTCCTTGTAAATATGACCCACTCTCGAACAACATGGTTATAATAGATGTTTTATTTTTAATTGTTTAAACAATAACATATATTTTATCGATAAAAATAATACTAAGTATAAAATGCGTGTGGCGTACATGAGTTTTTCTTCCAGAACTTTTTTTTTGTATCGGTTACAACCGCTAATCTGAGTTACAGAGCCACCTTGTGGTAGCTGGAAATCGACATTCTGCGCTGTGATTTGACCGTTAAAGAGAAGAAAAATAGAAGGTGATGAACAATGAATGATCATGAACACGTTGGCTGAACAATACATACCTTTTTTTCATCCTTATTAGTCCATATTTTTCAATTCACCCTTTGTGAAAATGACAATTAAAGTCGTGGAATTTGTAAATACCAAGGAAATATTGCCCTCTGATTGAAGGGTATCCTTGAAAGTGAATTGACTTCATTGCGTGACCACCTGAGGGGAGATGATCCGATAAAAACAAACTATCGTATGTGGATTCGCATGCACCGGCCCTCCGGTAATGTCGTCGCATCGTGCCGTGTGTTGTTTAAGCACGATGTCCGACGTTTCGCTGCACGTGCCGAGAGCTTTTTTTGGGAGGTTCAATTGAATTCGCTCCACGTAAGTTCGCGGCATCACACTAAACAACATACACACTTGAATTGAGTTCTCTCCGTGTAAGTTCACGACATCACGCTAAACAACATACACACTTGAATTGAGTTATCTCCGTCTAAGTTCACGACATCACACTAAACAACATACACACTTGAATTGAGTTCTCTCCGTGTAATCTCACAGCATCACACTAAACAACATACACACCGCGGTACAACCCGACATCTCGCCAGGCGGCTCTGCAGCGCAACCACTAAAATTGACGCAGTGGATTTTCGACGTGTCAATGCGGTTGTTTGTTGTTGTAATGCAGTCTATCTACGTGGGTTACCAATCTTAATTTGAAGCTTTCGTGACTGCAGGAATCCATACTCTTTGGTTCTTTCGGTAAAGTCACGTAGGTATAAAATAAAATAAATCACGACGTTTCGGGCGCAACGCACCTGATGACGGACGCTTGTGTTGCGCCCGAAACGTCGTGATTTATTTTATACCTACGTGACTTTAGCGAAAGAACGAAAGAGTGTGGGTTGTCAAGTTTTAACAGGAAGCGCCTCCATTATTATTGTCATGCATTGTGATCATGTTTTTGTAAGTCTTTTTTTGTTTGAACGCGTGCATTCGCTTCATACATAGCTGCCTACAACTAATGCGCCTGATCCCACCGGATCACAGAAGCTATGCAGCGGTAGAAGCCGGATCATGGTTGGATGGGCCACCACCACCATGTGTAGCACAGGTGCTATAGGCTGCTGCGGGGCTACGTTGTCGGCAGAGCAGAGTGCGGCAACATACATTGTTGCACCGTGCCGTGCTCCAACTACTATGCTCCCTTCTATAAATGTTGAACTTCTTTCGGACCATACAAAGCCAACGGTGCTAATCGGAGGTACCTTAATCGGCCTACACTGACCACCGTGGTGAAGTATGATGAAATAATCCCGACAATGAGCACAACTCTCATTCAGCAGTGAACCGACTAAAGGACTATGTATTAACCATATCTTCTAGATAATAAGACACATCATTTGCCCCTGTATTTTAAAGCAAAAAGCTGACGCGCGTCTTATAATAAAGTTTATTTGTGTGTGTGTGTGTGTGACCAGATTTGTAAAACTAGATTCACCCTGGGCACAAGAAGATGCATCTCACTTTCCGGAGCGTCTTATAATACAGAGAATATGGTAAGTGCACAATCCGGCTTTATTATGCATATCGAGCGTTGCTTAATGGTCACCATCAGCCATCGTCAATCCACTGCTGGATGAGTGCCTCCCCTAGCCATTGCCATTGGTCAAAATCCTGCCATGTAATGTAGGTAAATGGAGTAAAAGCAAATACAACCATGACTGCTTTTTTGTCTCGACATAAGAAGTAAAAAGTGAGATGTTAGTCACATCTGTCTATTGGCTTTCCAGATCAACATTATTCGGCAGCATTTATTCAAGCAAGCAAACTCTCGACCCGGTTCCGAACACCTTCTGAGTCTCATCAGCAGGGTCAGGCTTTCAAAACAAATGGCTGCTCGGTTACTGGATTCCACTGGCAAGAGTACTCGATATTAACTATGGGAATCTGTAACAAAAAAAAACTGCTATATTGCATACAAACTCATGTTGCCGTGTTGTGGAGTATTGTGGGTGACGTTGAGTATATTTTCCAGGGTGGATGGGGGTGTGGGGGGGTGGGGGGGGAGGTCTATGTTTCTGCGCAGCCCCTGCCATTGCTCTTTGTTGCATTTTCATCCACGTGACGTCGGGGGACCGGATCCGGGCAGAGGGCCCAGCGACTCCCCGCTGAGGCCGGGAACCGGTGAGCCGGTCCCCAGGGGCCTCGCGGTGTCGTGGTGCCGGGCGCGAGCCTGAGCCAGCGGCTCCAGGAGCAGGGGCACGGCCGCGATGAGGTAGCACGTGCCCGCCAGGAAGAAGGAAGAGTCGTACGTGTGCGTGATGTCGTACAGCCAGCCTGCACGACGGCGGGGAGAGAGCAGAGTCACGAGAGGGCCACGGACGGATTTGGGTATCTTGGCTCCTGGGACAGCCGGAGCAGAGATGACCCTTGACCCTTGACCCTGCCCCCTTCTCCCACCCCACCTACCCAAAGACAAAGACCCACCCGCCTAGAGCCCGAACAGACTGTTGGGACAAGTGCTTTTAGCGAACACCTATGAAGGCTGGCACGGCAGACGATGGGGGGGGGGGGGGGGGGGGTGGTGGCCCGCATCACGCCCGGCTGCCTTTTTCTCCCCAGTGGCGATGTTTATACATGGCACCAGTTACAAATTTGAAGCTGAGTCGAACTAGTGGAGGCCCAGGACTGGGACCGGTTCAGATAATGGTCACCGGTGTTGGCCGTGAGTGAGAATCGAACTCGGGTTCGTAGCGCAGTGCCGTGACACGTACAGAGTGAGTGGTGGAGTTAGCCATAAGCGAAGTGAGCAAAAGCTCAGAGCCCCCAAGCAATTCATGACAAAATAGGCCGCGTAAAATATCAGATCAAGTCCATGAACACAACAAGCTGACTGACGTGTAATAAAAAAAAATGTCATCTCTATGTTCCATAATATAGGTTTTCTGGGTTAGATCGCGTCAATATAAATGTATCGGTAAACCCATCACCACCCGACACAACCAATTAGTTTAGGTTTGTCACTTAAACAGAACGTGACAATTCGTTACTAGTTCAGCACAACGGTGTGTTGGAGAGCAAATCCACAACATTTACAATCTGAGTATGACGCTTCGCCAGTAATTACAATTAGCATCATCAGACGACAGCCAGATTTGGTTGCAAAAGCCCAAGTGTGTAACTGACCAACATCCCTATGTAGTCTGCATCTCTCTTTTCGCATCTCACTACATCTATGTGTTTGTCTACATTTATTTTATCTCACTACATCATTACCTCTTGTTACTCTCCCTTCTGTCATTTCACGGGTTTTTTTAACGTTGAAAGGGGGTTCCGCCAAAAATATTTCCTGCTCAGCGCCCCCCCCCCCCCCCCCCCACGTGGGCTAGCACTACTATTGCAGACACGTGCACACGAATTCTCAAACGGTTGCTACCGGTACACACTGCAGGCATATTGTTTTTATTAAACTTATAATATGATCAGATAACACTACTTTCTTTAACAAAAATCGAAATATATTATTTAAAATAATATGTATATATTAAAATATGAATATATATACTATTTGGTTCTTTCGGTAAAGTCACGTAGAAAGAAATTAAATGAAATAATAATAGAATACGACGTTTCGATTGCAACACAAGCAACCATCATCAGCTACAAGTGAATGAGAAAACAAACATAGTGAACTTAGAAATATAATGCAATACAACACAGAGAGTCGGCCAACACAAGTCAACACCCCACCTGGTTGATTACGTTCTTCCAAAGATTGCTAAATTTGAGAGAGAGACAAAACACAGACACGGAGACACACACAGACAACCACACAAGCAGAGAGAGAGACTCACACAGAGACAAGCAGAGACACACACAAATATATATAATTTCAATATATTACAAAACATCTAAAATATATTTAAAATATTTAAGTTTTTACATGGGAGATCTTGTGTAAGTTTTGGGCCCTGGAAAAAAAATGTTCCATTTGTTCCTCTGCATACATTGGGCCCGGCCTCCGGGCACAGCCGTTAATTCTGTCCCCCAATTCGTCCTCACGGAGTATCGTGTTTGAAGGTTCACACTGTACGTCGGCTCGTGTTTTGGGTTCGGCCGAATGGTTTTTCAGTGGGCGTGCGAAGACAGCGCACAGCAGTGCCTTGCGAGACGCCATGCTCCTGGCTTCAGCCACAACAAAGTTTGCCGGTTTGAGGACCAAAACAATAAAAACCCGTAAACTGCGCGCCGAAGTAATACGAGATCATCCGCAGCACCACAGTGTAAGGTTAAACAAACCCCGAGAGGACGACCCCTCATCGCTACACCTCCACGGTGGAGATGGAGAGTGATGACATCGGCTCAAGTGCAGGAGCGAGAGTGGATTGTGGCATTGCGGGCCCAACGTGCAGTGGCGACCGAGTGGGGAGGCTGTCATCCAGCGGTGGATTGACCGCGGCTGATGATGGTGATGACCATAGGGAGGATAGGTGGCTGGACACAGGAAGTTGCGGAGAGTAAATCAGACGTCTCCGTATTCCCCGCGTAGAAGGCTTGATGGCTCCGAGTTGATCAGCAAATGTTTCTCTGTTCGTGTCGAGGTTGGTGAGTGGGCCAAGGAGATGGCTTCAGGAGAAGTCAGATGAATATCTGAAATGCTGGCAGTGAATGATCGCAGAGAGCAGTGGCCTTCTACATTGCCAAGGGTGGTGAAAATAATTTGGTGTCGTAATAGTCGTCCGTGCGTTTTACCCAGGACAATTCCACCAAGTCTCAAGCCTCTGGCAGTAAGGCCCTGCGGTGATTATATTCTGCTAAGGGGCCGTCCATAAATGACGTCACGCGAGTTTGGACGATTTTTGACCCCCCGCCCTTCGTCACGACGTCACAAAAAGTCAACCCCCCGCCTCAAATATGACGTCACAAAGCTCTGCCCCCCCCCCCCCCCCAAATAAAACATGCTTCAAATCGCTTTAAACTATTGCCATTGTAGTGCGTATTTAATGTGGCGCTGCACTCTGATGTTGTAGGAGAAAACATTTATTAAAAAGTATATTTAATTAAGTAGAACGTATTCTTGGTTCTTTCGGTAAAGGCACCTAGAAGGGAAACAACGTAACTTTACCGAAAGAACCAAGAATATGAATCCCTGCAGTCACGAAAGCTTTAAATCAAAATTTAAGTAGAACGTGTTGTCTATATTTATTTAAAGTTGCGCATTTTGATGTGACGTCACATTTCTCACCTCCCCCCTCGTCATCGTCACACATCGTCACAAATGTCTGACCCCCCCACCCCCCCCCCCAGGTGCGTGACGTAATTTATGGACGGCCCCTAAATTCCGTCAATGGGTATTTGACGTGAAAGTAAATCATGATTATTTTTTATACCGTTGCTACTTTTCAGCCCGAGCCGACAACGCCCATTATTCCCAGGGAGTCTCCCATCCAATACTAACCAGACTCGAGCGCGCATAGCTTCTGAGATCCGACAAATTTTGGGCACATTCAGGGCGATTCGGTCTTTGGCAAACGTCTGTAAGACGTGAATGTCAAAACAGATGTGGGCCAAAGGGGCCAAGGTGATACGCCTGCTGCACAGGTGATGTCGCATCAGCGGTGTCGTGTGACATCGCTGACGCACTAAAAAAAAACAAAGACAAAGATCCCCCGTAAAGCCTTAACAGAACGTTGGGGCAAGTGCTGTTAGCGAGGAGCACCCATGAAGGCCGGCACGGTACACGAGGAGGGTGGGTGGCCAGCACCGCGCCCGACCGCCTTTGTGACGTCAAATCAGCGGTGTCGTGTGACGTCTCTCACTCACGGACACACGGGGCCAGTGGCGTGGCTGTCGAGTGTGCAGGCGGTGAAACTGCACCGGAACCCACAAGCCGGAAGGGCCCCAGCGCCGGGGGTTCACAAAGAGTAGGGGGAGAAGTTGAACAGGGGCGGGCGGGGGGGGGGTTAAATTTAATCCATTGCACCGATGGCCCATGCCGAACCACCGCCCGACATGCCACTGCGTTGCGGCATTGCCTGTCCCATTGCAATTTTTTGAGCTCAAGATCTCCGATCGTTGTTTTACCCGGCTGCGGGCCATGGGGTTGGCGCTGACAGCCACGAAGTTCCTCTCGGTTATTCACGGTGGGCGATGACCGCTACTTTATGTCGGGTGGAACATGCATCTCCTCTGACACTCGAAGAGACTCATCAAGCAGTGAACCAGCGTGGCTGGGGAAATAAGAGCCGTCCATCACGCGTTCGTTCATCTCTACGACAGTGCTGCTGTTGTTGCATACCACTGACAGTTATTTTTTTAAGATAATGGCTGCAAACAATGTTGCTTTGTGGAACTCCTCCAATCAATCAATGTGCAGAGGCTGCACGTAACGTCTGACTCTGCGTTCCCTCTAAATCTTGGATACTTTCGTCTTCAGGAGCCTTATGAAATGTGTGTCACAAGTTTTACCTTCACTCTGCTGTCGCTGTAATCTAATGAAGGCGCAATTTTGTTCTTGTCAAGAGAAGTTCATCCGTTGTATTGGAGCATGCCTGCCTTCCAGCACGCATTCGTGCCCGACAGCTCACAAAATAAAATAAATATTCTCAGCTATAGTTGCTAAGCATTTGAAGCACAATGCATATTACAATGTACACGCATTGTAATATATGCTAAGAATCCATAAGTCTTCAATCCGAATGTGTTGATCTGTAAGAGCAGACTTTGGCGGTTAGGTGTTAACTATGCAAACGCTTAGAGATCTGGCAGAAGGAAGGAAGCTTCGGCGAGGTGACATCAACGGCATTGGATGTGATGACCTCTTGACCTTGTACATGTAGGGCAGTGTTTTTCATTGCAAGGCCCTCGGGCCACTGGTGGCCCCCTGGTGGCCTTTGGTGCGGCCCCTGACAATAGACAACACGTGACAACACTCCCCACCATCATCGTGCTGCCATCAAACCCCAAATGGTGTCAAATGTGTGGCGGCCCCTCACACTGATGATGTCTTATCGGCGAAAGTGGCCCCCTCTGACGTAGAGTATTTAGAAAATCTCATCATGTGTTGTGGCTATCTTCTTCTATCGCATGGCCATCGCAACAGGATCCGTAAAACACTGGACATGTGTGAAAAAGTGCTTCATAGCTCATCGGATTTCTCCAGTATTCATAAATATTCTGATACCTGAACCGATCCTGTAGGCTCCCCCTTCACACCAATTGGCACTGACCAGCATGATGACGTATGGTCACACAAACCCTATGACTGACAAAAACGGAGGGTGCCATTATCTTACCCGATAGCGCAGGGCTTCGCAACTGGTGTACTGCAGCAAAGTCTCAGATGTGCCGTGGTATTCTCGAAATTATAGGAAAAGAAATAGGGTTACTGCAAGCGTGTATGATGAACTTATTTTGCACCGTACGTAGCCAACCGTGCTAATCGGAGTTGCCGGGGGAAAGACAACAAACTAAACAGTAAAAGCAGTTCTAAAGAAATGAGTTTTCAATCCAGATTATTTAAAAGTGCACAGCTCCAGGGGGCTTCCTATTATCGGAAGGAAGAGCGTTCCAGACGGCTGCAGAAGGGCACCTGAAAACGCCGCGAGCGATGCGGTGACCGTCACCGTTCGCAAGCGAGAGCACACGAACTCTCTTCGTGCCGTTCAGTGGCCGATCCGAGCGCCGCGCCCAAGCTCCCATTGGTCGTGGCGCGCTACGACAGACGGCCGTCAGCCCCCACCCCCGGCACACGTGTGGAGCGAGCAAGGCATTGTGGATTCTCTCTCAGTCGCAACGCCCCCCCCACCCACCCAGCTGGGCCCACAGTGAGGTTTTGGTTCGGCGTGTTCCGCGAAGAGCGAGCGAGCTCGGAAGCAGTGGGTGCCGTGGGATGAACATTCGTTGAGAAGCGCCGCAGTTGTGGACTGACAAAAGGGCTCTAGATTCATCGCTCATGCGTTTTATAAACACCGATCAGCACAGTTGGCTACGGACGGTGCGAAATAAAAGAAAGCTGTCCCTGATGTGGACGAATCAGTTTCAAACACAGTGCATATATAATTATCAGAGTATTCTTTTTGTTTGCATGTTCACCACAAGTACGTGTGGTTAATGCAGACAATATTCATTGAAAAAAAGGATTCTGTTTGGTGTTTTAACATCTTACCACCTGTTTTATTGCCAGAAAGGGTAAAAACCTATTGTTATATTGCAAAACAAGTTCAACATACAATAATAAAAACGTGTAATATCTTGCTCTCTTCCTGAAAGGAGAATATAAAACACTTTGTTGTTTCACCCAGCGGTCTTTTGCCACGATTACAAAGTTTTTCCCTTTGTTTATTGCGCCGGCCCAGGTCCCTCTAGCGAGGGTGGCTGCGATGTTCGGTCGGTACCTGCAGTGGGGGGCCCCATGAGGCAGCCAAAGCCCACGAAGAACATCGAGAGGCCGAAGGCGCTGCGAACCCTCTGCACGCCCAGCAGGTCCACCTGACGGAGGAGACACAGACGAACCCGCGATCACCGTCATCATCATCACCATCGTCAATTATTCTTTAACTGCTGGCGGGATTGAGGCATCCCCAAACCGGCTTGCTCACTGTGCTGGGATTCCAATTGTCGTTTTGTTGTTGTTCCAATAAGGTTATTGTTCTTCTTGCTCGTGACCTGCCACATATGCAGTGATCTAGAAGCATGCCTTGAGATGATTTAGATGTCTTCTTTGGTTCTTTCGGTAAAGTCACGTAGAATGAGAATAAAATAATAAAATAAAACGAAAAAATTCTCACGACGTTTCGGCCACAACACAAGTGGCCTTCTTCAGGTGAAAGGGACAGACCTGTTGGGACGATTGAGCTTCAAAGGGACAGACCTGTTGGGACGACAGAGCTTCGAAGCTCTGTCGTCCCAACAGGTCTGTCCCTTTCACCTGAAGAAGGCCACTTGTGTTGTGGCCAAAACGTCGTGAGAATTTTATTGTTTTATTTTATTATTTTATTCTCATTCTACGTAACTTTACCGAAAGAACCAAAGAAGATGAATCCTTTCAGTCACGAAAGCTTAAAATCGAAAATTATTTAGATGCTTTTGAGGGTTTAACGGCACATTCTCGGATTTCACGTAGGCCTCGGCAAGGTAAGGTAAAAGGTAAAAACAACGAGCCTACCTTTACCCTACCTTTAACCTTACCACAATACAATCACTCTACCCTTCCTTTTACCCTTCAACAGGTAAGGTAAAAGGTTAAAAGCAACGAGCCTACCTTTACCCTACCTTTTACCCTTACTCCATACAAAGTACCCGATTACAGGGTAATGACTGGGGTACTACTACATATGAAAAAAGGTTTATAACAGGTAAATACTAGGTAAAGCGCTTTATTCATATAGAATACTCTCGATGATTACAAATTTACACGCTTTCTTTAAACTCACTGTCTGTTGTTGTTGTCGTTGTTGTATCCTCAAATCTTGTAACGCAATTGTAACCCACTTCCCAATGTGGTATCGACTGCAAACTTGGTATACTTATTTCATACTGATGACAATACTATATTCTATCATTAAAAATTAAAAATATATATTTGTAAACATTATTTTTTATGTTATGTTTCGGCTTGCGTCTAATTGTCCACTGTCAACTTATGTTGGCTGTAATTGCCCACGGCCCCTTACGTTGTGGTAAGCTTCGGGGCCACTTCCTGGAGTCGTGGAGTTCTGCCATTACTCGTAGATTTCATAACAGCGTGTTTTTAAAAAAGTTTGTTTTAATACTACTTATTAAATGGAGGCCACGGACTGCGCCACGGAGCTTTTAGCGGTAAACAAGGTACCGTATTTACCGGATAATACTTCGCGCTACCTTTACCCTACCGGGTAATTCTTCCCAGCTACCTTTACCCTACTACCCTTTACCTTTTACCCCTTGGCATGTCGACACCTTTACCCTTTACCTTCACCCTTTTACCCGGTAAAAACGGTAAATTACCTTACCTTGCCGAGGCCTAGTTTCACGACACATTTATATATTTACGCGATCTTACCCAAAAGACCTGTATTATGGATGATTTTGCTGCTAAAAAATTCCACGTGAAAATCCACTTCGTTGAGCTATCATTTGTGGCCAGGTCACAGCTGAAAAAGAAGCTGATAGCTCAGTGGGCTTCACCTGGTAAGATAAGAAATAGTTTCGTTTTATTAGCATATTTTTTAAAGCGATGTGTTCCCATTTCCTGTACTTTGCACTCATATCGTGTGTTTGTGCTGCTTGTTGTTACAACGTTCTGACCTGCTCCTACTGGACATCTGTGATAAAGAGCTTTATAGCTCATTTGATTCCTCCAGTCTCAATACAGATTCTGATTCTGTAGATTATCAACGTTCATTTTTTAAATCTCTCTTCAACCATCGTTGCCCACGAAGCCACCTCTCTTGTAATATTGTAACCAAATCTTTAACCATAAGCTGAGTAATATAAAACACGACACATTGGTCAACAACACCTTGGCATTAGTAGGGATAATATATATAATAAGTGGCCAATTTTTCTCGAAATGTCGCCTATTTTATATTTTTCCGATTGTTGAGTTGTTGCTGTTGTTGTTTGTGCTTGTGCACCACTGCCAATGCAGTATCACCAAATAATCTGTCGAACTTTAGTGGAGCACTTTTTAAATCACCAAACGAGATGAATATCCCATCTAGTGTCATGTTGGGGAATTTAGTAATAAAAAACAAAATGATGCAAATTCGATATGACAATGTTTCCACGTCCTCGAAATAAAATATTTCCCAATCCTATACACTTTGTCGACCGCTGCCATTTAAATGACTAAATAAACTACGCGAGACATTGCATCATTATTGTTTGATAGTTATGATCATCGGGACACGTGTTGTAAAAAAAACAATAACAAGAAAATCGCAGCAAGCGTTGCCACTCGTGGACGCTTTCGAGAAACAAATGACACTTTGTAAAACGGTAACGTTGCTGAACACACATGAGAACGGACATACATTGGTTTGAATAAGCCGAGTTAGTTCTCTTAAAGTACTCGTTGGAGTTGCCCGCTCGTTTGAGGTCGCTTAAAAACGAGTAGAGCTATTTCTCATCACGGGTGTTCCATCCAAACCTGTCAACCCCTGATCAGTGCCCTACCTTATTACCTACCAATTCAGGCCTTATTGGTCACCCCGTGCCCTTATAAATCTCAACGTTCATCCTACCAAGTCCCATCATTGGTGTTAGTTAGACTTTTAACCCTTATTATTATAGTAAGACTTGTTTAAAACTTATTTAAGATTTTAGATTCCTATATGTTGAATGTATGCACCATCCTGCCAAAGTAAATTCCGTGTCGGTGTGAACTTTCATGGCGAATAAAACCCTTTCTAATTTCTGATTCTGAAACAGCTGTACGCCGTACGGACCTGCAAACTCAATTTCCCACTACAAGAATACGGGCTAAACCGTGATGGGTTGACACAGTAGGTGGCCTGCACTCTGTTGTTGTCTCGTCACCCTGGGACGACGCCGCTTGTTTCCACTAGGGGGACGCGAACATTCACCAAAAGCAGCAGGGCACTTTCGAGCAAGCACTGCGTGACGCAGGCTTGTTGGACAAGCCCCCATCGCTCGCCATGTGCTCACGGCCAAGTTGCATGCAATGCAGTCGCATCGCACACGCACTCGCCAACGTATGGACAGCACATTCGAGTCCACGCGAACACACAGAGCACATGCAAACACATCACACACACACACGCGCAAAGATCCCCCGAATAGCCTTAACAAACTGTTGTGGCAAGTGCTGTTAGCGAGTAGCACCTATGAAGGCCGGCACGGCACACGAAGGGTGTGGGTGGCCAACACCACGCCCGGCCGCCTTTGTCTCCCCGGTGGCGATGTTTACTACACACCGCACCAGGTACTCATTTGAAGCCGAGTCGACCTAGGGTAGGCCTATGACCGGTTCAGGTAATCGTCACACTGGTGTTGGCCGTGAGCAGGAATCGAACTGAGGCTCGCGGGCAAACACACAACCAGCGGGACCCGACTGGGCAATGAACCCATTGTGGCCCACTCGACGGAGCCAGCATCTGGAAGCAATGTTCTTCCTCCCCGCGAGCAGGGCTTCTTGTTCCCACGGTAGATGCTTCTATTTCGTCCTGTATTCAACAATTACTTTTTTTTTACATTACAAGGGAAAAATCTGTTCGGTTAAGTGAAGATAGCTTTGTTTAACACGTAGGCTTTCGCGACCAATATTATTGGGTTAGATCGCGTTATTTATAAATGTGTCGTAACCCTCCACCACCCGACACGGCCAATCAGCAGAAAAAGTGTCCCGTTGACAAAAGACAAATAGTTCACTACTTTAGCCCACCGGTGTGTTGAAGAGTGAATCCACAACATTTACAGTTTGAGTACGACGTTTCGCTGGTAATTACATCCAGCATCATCGGGCAATTCGCCAGAATGGCCAGAATACGCATGACCTCACAGTCCGACCATACTACGCTGCATTCAAGGCAATTACTCCGCTGGTGTATATCGTGCATGGCAATCATCGCTCCCTACTGCGAACATTTGGCAGGACACACTGAGTCCTGAGACTCGGGTAATACTGGTAGGAACGAAGTTGTAAACTGAGTGTACCAGCCTGCAATAGATTAATGTGTCCGTCCGTCCGTCCCCTTTCAATACTTTAACGAAGTGAAATCTCGTGCTGTTGGGTGTAAAATCAGCAATAGACAGCGCAGAGACTTGTCCTACCAGCCCACCCTGCAGGGACCTGTGAATGATAAACAATACCACGCGTGTTAACCCTCCACAACCACTTGGGAATGTGACACTGGGCAACGTACGCCACCTGCTGATAGGTTGAGCACCACTTTGCCACCGAGTTGTTTCCGTCTCTCGTGTGATTCTCAGTTACGCTTGTGCAAACAATAATCATCATTGTAAAAATGATGTCGACACATTGTCTATCCAGGAAAGCCTCAGTGACTCGCGACTCTCCGCGCCAATTGGGTCATTGGAATATATGAGCTCTTCCGATAACGGGAGTTTATCACGCGGGAGGAAATCAGAGTTCCCATAGAGATAAAAGACAACACGTGCAGCTGGATGACAATGCTCCCACCTCCTGGTCTCCTTGTAGGCCTAAACTAAACTATTCATTTTTTTTCATAGTACCAAGTAAGACCCACTAAGCTATATAGCTATTTTTTTCAGAAGCAACTTAGATATCACAAATGCTAGCTCAAGGAAGTGGCTTATCACGTGGAAATTTATAGCAGCCAAATACTCTAAGTGCACGTTGATTCTAAATGTGTGGGGGTGGGGGGGGGGGGTAAACCGGAGGACCCGGATAAATATTCACACCACCACGGGGAGAGGAAGAAGAAAACTCCAAATACACAGCAGGCGCCATGGTCGACATCGAACCCACGACCTCCTGCACGCCAGGCGAGAGAGTTAACATCTCC